ATGTGCAGCAAATAGAAAAGATACAATAGAAGTCGCAGGGGTCACAAAAAGATAAGCACTGTTCAAATTTATTTTTAATAGCTTTATTTATTTATTTATTTATTTATTTATTTATGTGTGGTGCTTAGGATCGAACCCAGTGCCTCTCAGGTGCTAGGCAATTGCTCTGCCGCTGAGCCACAACCCCAGCCCTCAAAATGATTTTGAGATAATGAATAAGATTATACATATTTATGTGCATTTCATCTTAAAATATGTATTTAAATACCTATATTTTTATTAAATTATGTTTTTAGTATGTCTTTTTTAAATACTTAGAAATTAAAATTGTTTCTGGTACCTTTGAAGTCAAATGGAATCAATCATTTTGCTTTTAATTCTTCATTAGCATCTTTGCCAGATACTGTATAAATGAAATCATGAGTTTTGTATTACTAAATGGACATTCTATACTAAGGATAAGTTTCTAAATTTTTTAGTGAGCAAAAATGTTTCATAAGGAAAATAAAGTTCAATGAGTTTACTTCTAATGTGTTAGTAGCAAAATAAAATAAAGAGTATTTAAGATTCTACTGTATTTATAGGAAAAATACCAGAAGAAAATATATTTCACTGTTAAATCATCTTGTATCTATGTCATATAGGTAGCCAAAAGGCAAATGTAAAAGGCAAACATTATACATTATACATTATATGCCTTTCCAATTACAAAAACTAAATTATTAGATTTTTATTTGTTTTCTTTTTACCCAAACAAATGCAGTGGCAAAAACAGGAACAGTGTGTCACTACACCCTCGTTCTTTATGATGCTATATCACCTGAACTTTTTTATTCTTTTATTGTATGACTAGAATGTCAGTTCATGAATGCTATTGTCTATTTTCCAAAAATTTAGGAGCTTCACATTCTGTTTGTTTTATCTATTATTATTAAGATGATGATGCCAATTTTTAAGAATTTAAGAAACATGCATTGTCAACTGTACCCATAGCTCCCAACAATGAAATATAGTCATACAAAAGTTAAGTAAGGTATAAACATGCAAAAGGAGAAGTCTCTCTGCGATCATAAAATGATGTTATTTTCTGTTCAGCAGTTCATGTTACTGCTGTTCATGCTAATTAATTAAAGGAGCTGTTGCAGTAATGTGCAAACAGGGAATCTGAGAAACTGAGAGGGCTTTTAGGTCTCCAAGTAAAGTTAAGTCAATCTGGGCGCGGGCAATCAAATATAATGAAATCACTTGTCAGTGCTAAGCTTGCAAAAACTGTGAAGTTTGACTAGGGAGTAAAAGGATTATAATTAGATTTCCAATAGGATAATAACTAAATGGCAGAATGCAGTAAAGAGAAAATATTACTTTGTTAGCTAATGGTACTGCTGTTTGGTTTTGGTTTTTATCAGCTCACTTGTAGTTGTGCTAATTTAATTTGCTTTTATCAGCAGAAATGCACTACACAAATGGCACTTGAATGTCATTTGCAAAAATCATTGATCTGAAGGTGCACTTAATGACACCTGGTATGTTTATTTTATGTGAAAGGGGTGTTGGTTGATAAGATGGTTGATGTGCTGTCATTCAGATTCCCATTTGAATTGTAGGGATCTGAATGGAACCATAGCAGTGTACCTGTTCCACTGAAAACTTTACCTCCAGAGATAGTGCCCATACCTGTAAAAGTGAGTATGTATTCATTGGTAGACTACCTTAAACATTCAGGAAGAGTTGAGAATGTAGACTACTAAAATCTAAGTAGTACAGATATTCTTTTATTGGAAGGTGGTCTATGTATGATATCTAGTCTGCTAACATTCAAAGCATGTAGGAAGTTATATAATTAAGCTGGTGAAATTTGGTAAACCTAAAAGTATATAGTTCATGAGTAGTTTGTGCCATATATGGGAATTATGATAAAGGTGGATATGACTTTATTTTTTCTAAGAAAGATCATGCAACATTTTTTTCAAGCCCCTCACCCATATTCTCTTAAGGAGGTAACACAGTGGAACTAATTGGATTTTAAAGGTAGAATTCCAGGAAAATTATTGACAATAAGAAAAGAGAATTTCGATGATACTGAACCTGGTTGCTGTGATGGAGATGAGTATTGGAAATGGCATTTATTGCAATTCTGTAAGAATGATGCTCACAAACAATGGTAGGAAATAATCTTCCAAGTTACAAAAAAAAAGTGAGTAATGGAGGGAGGTAGAAAATATGAAAACAGTATCAACATAAGTCACAAAAAAACCCATAACACACAGAAAACAAAATTATTAGCAAGAATGGAAAAACAATGACTAAAGTTGTATTTTATGTTTTTCAAGCATTATATATTTTTTGAAGATCACAGACAAATATAAAAGGCATCTTTCAATTCTAATCATCTCAAATAATAAAAAAAAATTATCAGGATTTTTTAGGTAATTATTTGAACTAATTCATTTGGTAAACTTTATTTAAGATTAGTTCTGGTAATATTTTTAGCCATCTATTACCCTGGCTAAAAAAAAAATCATTTTTTCTAAAAATAACTTCTTTGATATTAGGATTGTAGTCTAATGTAATTTTAACATAAGATATTTACTCTACTTTTGCTGAAAATGATGAGAGTTTTAGCATGTAGTTTAAATTCTGTGCTAAGACAAGGGAGAGTGCATGCTTTTCCATTTTTATCACATTTATCCTGAATATCATTTGATGCCATCTAAAAGGCAGATCTCCAATAAATAATTGTTAACCCACATATTTTATCATAACCCACATGTTTTATCATATATGGAAAATGCTAAACACAAATAAATAATAAAAATCAACCCCTTTGCTTTAAAATAATTTCCATCTAAATCCATTTAAATATATATCTAATTATATTATGTTAGCCAGAAAAAAACACAGTAGAACTTATGCTTAGTGACAACTAATTTTAAATACTCATGTGAAAAAGCCATTCTTCTTAATTTTTTTTAGTTCTATGTGGACACAATATCTTTATTTTTTTAATGTGGTGCTGAGGATCTAACCCAGTGCCTCACATGTACTGGGAAAGCGCTATGCCACTGAGCCACAACCCCAGCTCAAAAAAGCCATTCTTTACAGACTTTAAAAAATTTAAAAATTTGGACCAAAATGGAGACAGTGAATATACTTTTGCATATATCACCAAACTGACAACCCACAAATAAGATATCTGTTGCCTATTGCATGGAAATGTAGAAACTTCAGGACAATTCAGAGGCTTCTATGTATCTCAGAATTGGGAAAATATTATTACTATGAGCTAAAGGCAGCATATGAATTAAAAGTAAAATAGCAAGTAATTGGATAATGGTATAGGCTTAAAACATAATAAAGAAAAAAAAACTATTAGTAATATGTTTGGTTTGTTTCTTCCAGCTCCAAACTGACCTAACATACTTTTCAAATTAGGGGGCAAAACCAAGCTCTATGCTCCTTAAAGACTGTGTCTATATTTGTATGTCACTGATTCAGAATTAATCAAATAAATGTTACAGGCTATTCATCCCTACCATGGCCCTAGTATGTGATTGCAACCTCATACACCAGGCCCCCAACTAGCAGGAGTGTCTTCATAAATTTAGTTATGGTATATCTAATGGACAAACATTCATGCAATTCAAATGGCTTTTCTTACAAAGACACAGCCTTTAAATTTTGGGTAAAAAGCAGGCAAGCATTAAAAAAAGCTAAGAAAAAGCAAAAGCTTCAGTGAATGAGCCAAGCATGCACACTGTCACATCTAACAGTAAATGTGTTAGTTAGTTAGTTCTATCCAGCTGCAGCAGAATCAGGCATTATAAAAGATCCATGAGCGATCATGATTTAAAAATTTACATAAATACAAATTTTAAGTTTCCTGAAGCTGCCACATTAAATGGTGATCTTCAGATACACCCAAATGAATCTCTTGGTCATAACCAGTTCTGTCCTTCACATTGATCCAGTCTATATGGTAGCAAAGAACCAATTTGTTAAACCTCCAGCAAGCAAAATATTCATGGCTATCTTTTTTAAAAAATAATTTAACATTTATTTATTTGTTTGTTGTTCTTTGTTTTTTGTTTTTATTTTTGTTTTTGATGTGGTGCTGAGGATCAAACCCAGGGCCTCACCCATCCTAGGCAAGTGGTCTACCACTGAGCCATAACCCCAGCCCTCATGGTTGTCTTTAATTTTCAGTTAGGAAATAATTTTCTGACAGAAATGTCTTTATTTATTAATGTAAGCCTTTTTAAACAATACACGTGAACATAAGTGTAATCTACATAAAATTAAAGAACTAGAAAACTGTATTAGTTTACATTGGAAAATTTCCAGTAGTCAAATTAAATTCCTATTTTAGATTCTTTTGCACTCTGTTGAGATGCTGTATTGGTGTGTTTTATCTGTTTTCTACCTAGTAAATATCTTTAAATATTTTAAAGGACCTATGTATTTATGGGTATCATATAAATCATGAATTACAAGTCGTGCAGCTATTTCCATATTTAGGTGGTTTGTAAAATTACCATCAAAATTTAAAGGTTGACAAAAATGTTGTCTGGAACACTTTTAACATATCAATAGGTTATGGTTATTGTATTTGTGGCATTTACAAAAAGCAAAGTAGTGAAGTTAAAAATACATGTATTGTACACTTATGAAAGGTAAATTATATTCACATTTATACATTTTTAGAATATGGTAATACATAAATGCACATCCTTTTAACAGCTAAATGTACACAAAATTTTCTCACATTGTATACATAAAGTTACTAGTCCCTAAGTATCTGTACTGTTATTGGGTTTTCACAGTCATATTAAACTTGTTTTACTAAAAAAAATAAATGCAAGTTGCCACCTATGTCATTGATTAAAAGAGTTAAACATTTATTTTACTTATATGAAAAGTATTAACACAGAAGCTCATTCCCACCATATGCCCAGGGGTCACATATTAAGCAGTTGTAGCAAGAAGAACACTGTTTACCATACCTTGCATAGCAGCACTATCATGAGGAGTCCCATTTTTTTCTATTTCAATATCTGGAATTCCAGTATCTGAAATAATTGACATTCAATATTAAGGTACAATTCTGTTTTACGATTCCAGTTAAATGGAAAATTGCAGTTTGTTCCTATAGATAATGCAAAATCTTGGGCATTGTTTTTTGTTTATTTGCATGTTTTTGTTTGTTTTTATATGTTTCCATGGTAGTAGGAAGAATTATAAATTATAGCAGTATTTCACAATAGAATATAGATTTCTAGGTATACAATAAATCATGCATTTCATTCCCTAAAGATAAATTTTAAGGAAATCATTTGTTTATAAAAATCATCAGGTTAATATGCCCTGATTACAGAACAATGAAAAGATGATGGATATAGTTGCCTACATGGAAAGGTCCATTCCTTATGCTTTATTTTCTATTTGTAATATATGATAGATGGTGATAATCTCTCTATGCTAAGTGCAAATGAAGACCAAAATATGCATTATGGTTTATGGTATTTCTGTAGAACTAGCTCTAGAAGCAAATATTTTACTACTGTGTTCTTCAGATGAGCTATAAAAGCAAGTAATTAGGATGTAAAAGTGCTCCCTGTGTGTGTGTGTGTGTGTGTGTGTGTGTGTATGAATGTGTGTGTGTACATATATTTACTTGAACATTTACTTCATACTATGTCTGAGTGTAATGTACCAATGTTATGCTGTTTCAGATAAAATGAAATCAGAAAAGTGGAATTAAGATATTTCATGATTTAAGCACGTTTTCCCACAGATAAACCTTAAATGCCTCAACACTAATGTAATGTGCATCAAAGAAACCAACATCCTATATAGCTGATCAAAATTAAGTTCACCAAACATCAGCATATCTAACATCAATGGACCTGAAACACATTTCAGTGTAGGAAGGATATCAGTTTTACTGCTTCTACTGCAAAAGTCAGCAGAATTTTCTTTTTTTTATCTCCAAGAATAGGGCTTATTTTGACTGGTTTTATTCAGAACCTAACAATTTGGCCTCAAATTGATATTTTAATTTTTCCTGGACATTTTCCTTCCTTCCTTCCTTCCTTCCTTCCTTCCTTCCTTCCTTCCTTCCTTCCTTCCTTTGCTTTGTTTCTTTCTTCTTTAAATTAAGATTTATTTTGTTTACCTTAAGTCCAAATTAAACTTTACCTTTCAACATCCTCAGGCCACTGTCACTAGTTGTGGCTTGCTTAAGCGCCTGCTCCACTTGTTCCCTGCGCTTTGATTCAAATTCCAAGGCTTCCTGCAGTTTTCTTTTGGCTTTTTTCTCCTTCTTCAGGCGCTTTTGCATGGTAGCTGCAATGTGGAAAAGTATTTTGCAAAATCTTGGTCAATGAAATAGGTTTTGATGAATTATAAATGTAGATGTATTGGTTGAAACATGATCACATGTATGCTCTATAATGCACATGCATTTTTTATGGTGGTGACAGTTGGGTTGGAGAATTGTTTTCTACTTTGACTCACTACATACATTTAATAATAACAGTCAATATTTTTCTAATTTTCTAAAGAAATATACTGCTATTACTCATCAAGTTGTTGCTATTAATATTTCAAAATGCAAAAAATACCCCCCCCCCCGCAAATATCTATTAGGTTGAATACTATGGTCTTTAAAACTAAAAGTGGCAATATCCCTTTCAGTTGAATGGGACCAATTATAAAAGCAAAAAATGTATTTAATGTATTTGTTTAAATAATGCACATATCATCAGTCTTTCTCTCCCCATACAAATACACAAATACACACACACACACACACACACACACACACACACACGGAGAATAATTTTCAGCCATGATTATATAAGCAAGTTGCAAAAGTGCAACTACAGTAATGTCCATTTGGTAAGCAGGAAGGTAAAATAGAGCTAAGGAAGAGGTATACCTCAATTTTCAAAGTTTTATCTCTCAAGTAAAAACTTCAGTGTCCCTCATGCAGTTATATTTAAACTCTGAAAGCCTAAATCTAGGATAGCACCTTCAATGGAATTATTAAGTTTCAGCAATAAATTGATTCATAGCAAGGTTGTAAGCAGAGTAATACTTTTCCTAAATTAGTTTTTAAAAATTAAGTTATTGCTGTTATTGCAATAAAAGAACACTCAAAGTACATTGAGAAAACTAATAAATTATCTGATGTTTAAAAATGTTCAATGCACTCATATATAATTAAAATCTTCGAACTGAACTGAATATGTTACTAATTGTTTCAAATGTGTTCATCTCATGGTTAAATATATTTTCATATAAACTACCTTGAACAACTTGAAGAGAGTCAATTACATAAGTAAACTGCTGTGCAAATGCAAAATCTCAAAAATCTAAGGGAAAAAAACTGGAATTCTTCAGACAAAGACAATGAGAAAGTATGATTTTTATTATTTTGATGAAATACTGCTAAATAGGAATGAACATAAAAATATATTAGTATCATAATTATATTCAAATATCATTTAAACATAGCAATAAACAAATTATTCAAATTAGAAACCTAGATTTATTGAAATTAATGTGTAACTTAATGTCTTTGTCAAAACAAAATTGTGTTTCAAATAAAATTAATGATGCAAAAATATTCTATATGTTGATTCAGTTGAAATTTGTGATTTCACATACTGCAAACAATGCCAAACAGATTACATTAAAACTATTAAAATAAACAATAATAACTATAATTTATTCAGAACCAACTATGTACTGATCATTTTGCTGAGAATGTAACATATTAAGGTCTTAATTAACACTGTAAGAAAAAACACTACCATTTCCATTTATAGAAGGCCACTGAGTCTTTGAGAGGTCAAAGATATACCTAAAATGATATAACTGGTAATTGTCAAAACCTGTGTATCACATAAGTTGGTTTTTCAAAGCCTAGGGACAACAGAGTTGGTTAGTGGACCAAGGCAGATGACCCCAAAGTTTCCTGTTGTTTTATCATTCTATTATTTTAAATGTTTATTTTGCAAATAATATCATGGTATATTATTGCATATGGATATGTATGTTTAATTCAAGTAGCATAGCTACCAGCAAAAAACAATTGGGTAGAATTTTTGGTTTTAGTGTGGAGCATTTTTTTCTTTTATGGGAAAAAAGTTATAAGAATTCTTTTTCTATATTTATATGATATTACATATTTTTATATATGTAGGTTATATATTAATATTGTTTTATTATATTATTGGAGATATGTGGCATTATAACCATAATATCAACCTTCTGCCCTATCCATTCCATCAGGTGAACTTAGTTTATAATTTTGATATACTCACAATGGAGTATTACTTAGCCATAAGAATGAAAATATGGGGCTGGGGTTGTGGCTCAGTGGTAGAGCATTTGCCTAGCACATGTGAGGCCCTGGGATTGATCCTCAGCACCACATAAAAATAAATGAATAAAATAAAGGTATTGTGTCCAACTATAACTAAAAAAATACATATTAAAAAAAGAATGAAAATATGGTATTATGTTTCTACCACTCTGAACTTAGTTGACAAAACCTGTGTATCACATAAGTTGGTTTTTCAAAGCCTAGGGACAACAGAGTTGGTTAGTGGACCAAGGCAGGTAATTGATTGGACACAGGCCAATCTCAATCTATAAGTAAATAGCAGAAAGATCAGTAGAGGGAAGGGAACAGGGGGAGGGAGGAGGTGAGGGAAAGGGGAAATACTGGGAACTGAATTAGAGCAAATTATATTCCATGCTTTGTAATTATGCCAAAATAAATCCTAGTATTATGTATAAATAAAAAGATTAAAAAGTCATTTAAAATTTGGGTATACTGGATATGAGATATTCAAGTAAGCAAAAAGAAATTTAAATGATTATCTAGTTAAGTTATTGTAATAGATGAGGTTGCTGAGATTCATAGAAATGAAGTAGATAGTGTTTCAAAATTGATGAGGATAAATAGTAGTTTTCTTAGTTGTATTAGTAATTAATTACAAGTAAAATTCTAAAAACAGTGCTCAGCACATGGTAGACAGTAAGTATTATTAGCTAGTAGTAGCAACAGTACTGATGGTAATAGTAGTGGTTATAATAGTGACTAAATACTAAATGGTAGTAATTTTAGTGATGATAGTAATTATAGTAGTATTAGCCTTATCATATTATAACAAATGCTAAATTTGTTAAATACAAGTGCTTCAAGGCAAATTTTATAACTAATTATGCCTACCAGGTCTACAACTTTTTATAGGATAATAGATAATATTATAAATGTAGAACTAAAATGTCCATGAAATGTTAGTAAACAGACATTAATTGAGTTTATTCCCTAAAAAGTAGAAGTTAATTTTACTATATGTACTAGATTTTCATGAGTCAATTTAAGAAGCTTATTGTAGGGCTGGGGATGTGGCTCAAGCGGTAGTGCGCTCGACTGGCATGTGTGCGGCCCAGGTTCGATCCTCAGCACCACATACAAACAAAGATGTTGTGTCTGCCAAAAACTAAATAATAAATATTAAAAAATTCTCTCTCTCTCTCTCTCTGTCTCTCTCTCTTTAAAAAAAATAAAAAAGAAGCTTATTGTATTTAGCATATGTTTTTTTGTTTTAGAATAAAAATTTCCTTAGTAAATAAATGTGAGTTATTATGATTATTAATCATTGCACACTATTTCACATATTATCAGAGATAAACTAATTTCACCAAACTTTAAAAAAGACAATAAAGTCTTTGCTTTGTTGTATTTAATGAATTTGTTAGGTTAAGGAAAACAGGTTTCATTTTTTTAAATTCAGTGTTTGAAATTCCATTTTATATTGAACCAATGATTCCTAGGACCTAAAGAAAATATAGAGTATGTTTTCAAGCTCTTGAAACAATAATTTGTTACTTTGAGGTAGTGTAAAGTCAGTCAAGTTTACTCAAGTGTAATCATCCTTCTTTGACTAGAGTTATCCATTTGGTCTATTTTCTTTCTTTGCCTCTCCTTCACACTTTTCAACCTTTTACTTATTTTAGATTTTGTGATCCTTCAATAGAAGAATAAGCAGGGGAGAGAAAGAATCTGTATTTCATAACTTTTACTTTTTATGCTGTTTAATATTTTATGGAAAATGTACAGAAGATGTGGAAATTATGAAAGTGAAATTCTGAATCTTCTGCTCCTAGTCTTACAACTAGTCTTACATTAATTCTCCCCTAATTTATCCCCATGATCAGAGTAATTTATCCAAATGAATTCAGATCCAATGATTCACTTGCTTATATACTAATACTTCCAATCACCCATAGGATAAAATCAAAGCTAATCTTTTACAAAGTTAAAAATATTCTTCATAATTTAAATTCTACACCTATTTATGTGCATCATTTCCTACCATTCACTTCAGAAAACTCAAAGCCACTATAATAATAAACTGTTGTTTTTTTTTTTGAAAGAGAGAGAGAGAGAGAGAGAGAGAGAGAGAGAGAGAGAGAGAATTTTAATATTTATTTTTTAGTTTTCAGTGGACACAACATCTTTGTTTGTATGTGGTGCTGAGGATCGAACCCGGGCCRCAYGCATGCCAGGCGAGCRCGCTACCACTTGAGCCACATCCCCAGCCCCAATAATAAACTGTTTATAGTCACCCATGGATGAAGTTTCTTTTCTCCATGCCTATGCTGATCTCCCTGCCTAGAATGCCCCACTTGGTTCCTTGCACATTCTTTTTTTCCCCCTGCTGATCCTTTAGGACTCAGATTCAGGTGTCAGCATCAGAAAATACTCCTTATATGTCCTCACCACTCCAGCAAGCCGAGCAAACAAACCCTCTATATATAATCATGAAGACTGTGCATGTTTACCATGTTTACTTCTACCACTTTTTTTTTTTAACTTTAGCTGCTTGTGCTAGTTCTCTAAAATGTAAATCCCTCAAGGACATGGACTGAGTCCATTCACTTTTTCATTCCAGAATGTAGCACTGTGCCTAGCAAGAATAAGCATTACATATGTAAGGAATTATAAGTTTATCTATATGCATTTTCTGACATTGCAAGAGAATTATAGGTATTCATTTTTCTAAATCTGGAACTAGCCCAGAGTACAGATCTAGTTCATTATTTTTTTTAGTATAAAGAGATGGACTATACATTTCTTTCGTTGTGGTTTGCATACAGTTTTTGCTTTGTATCTTATTTATTTTCAGCAATATTAAGCTATCTTTGGTAATATTTCTAATTATTATTAAAATACCTCCAACATAATATTTACTCTGTAACTGAACATGTTAAACTTACTTCTGCTTTGAAGCTCAACTGCAAGTTGTCTTTCAAGGTTTTCTCTAATCTCTCTCTCTCTATAGAGCTCCATTCGCAGTTCCTTCTTTTCTTGCTGAATCTGCTTCTCCTGGATGCGAGCATTATCCAAAGCCACTTTCAGCAGACCCTGTCAAAGTACAGCAAATGACATGCAGTTCATCTTATCTGTTTTAATTTCTCAAATACAAAATAATTTGTGTAGGTGCTAATGTCTTGTATTACATTTATTTTGTTTATAGAAATATTGTTGACCTGAATGTTGGTCAACAGAGTCTCCACGGAGGATAGACTATCAGCAAAAATGAATGGTCCAGGGAATCCAGGGGGCAAGGCCTGCCCAGGAGCCAGTTGAAGCTTGTCCAAGGGTGACTTCATCAGTGGAATTTGAACAGGTACTTCTTCTGAAAAAAAAATTATGTCAGAAGGTTCAGAAATTAACAGGTCAAATGTTTCACCAAATCACCTCCAACAGACATCTACAAATACTGATCCAAAAACTAAATGGTGGACACTCATAATTAGAAATCATACCTATTGTGCAGTTGCCTCTATTTTCTGAAGATAAGTGATTCAATACAGAACCCATGAAATTGAAACCATATTTATTGCTAAAGAAACATGAAATCTGTTGAAAAGATTTTCAGATAAATACAACTGATGTACCTGTTTATGAATATCTATAAACTAGATAATCAGACCACTTTCTAGGAATGTATAAGCTGTCTTTATTTATTTTCTCTTCAAATCTATGTATCTACCTATATACCAACCTGTCTTCATTATTTTTAACAGCTTCACTGAAGTGTAATTTAAAGACATTAAATTCAACTATTTTAGGTATATGCTTAATTTTTGGTAAATGTATGGAGTTTTCTTTCACAACCAATATTTTAGAATGTTTCAATCCCCTGCAAAAAGATTGTTCACACATATTTATAATTAATCTACTCACCCAACCTAGCTTCTGGCAGCAAGTATGCTACTCTCTTTCTAAAGTTTTACCTTTTCTGGACACAATATGTGGCTTTTTTGCCTGGATTCTTCCACTTAATATCATGTCTCTGAGGTTTATTCACATTGTGTCATATTTCCATACTTTCTTCCTTTTTATTACTAAACAGTATTCCATTGCTTACTTTTAATCTTGGGAAGTATTCTTTATGAAAAAAAGAAACCAATTAAGCCACAGAAATGCAAGTTGTATCAACCCTCACCTTTAGATTTTATACTATTTTCTTCCACATTCTCATTAATCAGATTGTCTCTTAGTACCACATAAAGAGACATCAACAGAATAATTCTCTATTAAGATGTTTCAGATTTATTTTGGACAGATATATTGAATTAGAAAGGGAATCTCGGGCTGGGGATGTGGCTCAAGCGGTAGCGCGCTCGCCTGGTATGTGTGCGGCCCGGGTTCGATCCTCAGCACCACATACCAACAAAGATGTTGTGTCCGCCGAGAACTAAAAAATAAATATTAAAAATTCTCTCTCTCTCTCTCCTCTCTCACTCTCTCTTAAAAAATAAAAGGGAATCTCTTACTTTGAGAAACATAACTACTCTGCTATCAATTTGAATTTTGGCTGACAATATTTTATATGAGATATACGAACCAGATATCAAAATTCCTCTGTAACTGAAAATGGAGACATTTTTTGACATATGTAAAATAAAAAAAAAACTGGGCTGGTCTGTAGCTCAGTGGCAGAGTGCTTGCCTAGTATGTGCAAGAAACTGGGTTTGATCCTTAGTACCATATAAAAATAAACATATAAAGGCATTCTGCCCTTCTACAACTACAAAAAATATTTTTAAAAATTAAGAAAACCTGATACACAGAGTCTTGGGATGAAACCTAACAAACAGTTACTCATAATTATAGTTCAACAGTATAATCAGGTGAATCATTAAACTTCAGTTACTCTCCTCACTGCCATTTCCTAATTTCAGCAACAGGGCATAAGTGAATGTTGAAAAATAGGCTTCTTTATGGATGGAAACAATTTTCAGTGACTTAATATATTCTAAAGAGACTCACTTAGGAAAAAGATTAGACTTAAATGTTGTCCTAACCACTTTTCAGATGGTATGGAAACAACAATAACAAAAAAAAAAAAAAAATCTAGCAAGTGGTGTGGTTCCTGTAAGGATGCAAATATTGATTTGCCATACAGTTAGACTTCATTTTTCAATTGCAAGTAGTCTACATACATAGTGAGCAGATTCTCAAACCCATTGATTTCACAGTCATCGTGTTTTGCTATGGAATTTCTTGTGTGGGAATTTGTGGCATACAATTGCGGGAAACTTCAGTGAGATTACTTAATGGGATACCATTGTCCATAAATAAAATACTCTTAATTTTCTTTTTCTAAAATCAACAGTGATAAAAATGCTAAATGATTATTTAAGAAAAGCAACCGTTTCACATTATTTGAAACCAAAAATTAACATTATTTATTGGTCTCAAAAATTCAGTAAAATGCATATATTCTCACATTAATTTTCTTCAGCACTGAAAGCTATATTTCCCTGGAACTAACTTTTAGAAAACCTAAAGAAACTGTATTTTGATCATCAATGCATAATGCATGGATTTTCTACAACTCCCTCATAGGTTTATGCCTATAATAATCATATTAATATTTATAATAAACTTAAGCATCTTATAGGATATCTCTCTGTCTCTGTCTCTCTCTCTCTTTTCTCTGTGTCTCTCAAATAACTGGTATGTTTGGAAAAGATTGAGTTTTCCAGAAAGAACAGAAAAGATCAGCACATCATCACAAATTCCTTGACTTTGTTCAACTACATGATTTCTTTTAAAATATCATCTCATAAAAATGTAGAAAAAACTAAATCCTAAAATTAACAGCTCTAATATTTTAAAAATACATTTCTCAAAAAGACAAGCACTATTATGTTTTATTTGTACTGTTTGAGGTCTGTATTTGGGTGTTGTGTTTTGCACATAAGTGCATAAAGTAGATGGAATGACTGAATACTGATCTATCAATACTAATAATGGCTAGAGAGACTGCACTTTTGAATTGATAATTATAAATCTTAAAGTATGAATTTGTATAGCAGGAAAACTCTATTTTTACAAAATGAACCACTACAAAGTTAGAATATTGACTATCTGTTGATTCAGAGACAACATAATATTTCCCCTAAATAAATATTTTGTATCAGAGACAGAGATCTTAAAAGTACTGGATTTCTTGTTATATTTCACTCTACACACATGTATAACTTCAGTGGTAAGAATCTGAGGGGCACTCTTTCTGAAAATGAAAGCATTACATTCAGTATGCACAAAACAAAATTATAACTATGTTAAAATTGCTAGAAGTCTCCTGTTTGAAGCTGAAAGAAATGTCATTAAATTGGCTGAAAGGAACATTACTATTGACTATGAAGACAGGTTGCATGGTCCATGGTTGTAATGTTGCTGTACCATAGATTGAAGTTTCAAAATAGTATTACTCTTCTTTAAAGAGATAGACACAGCTGAATTAGGTGTTGCTTGCTGCAGTGAGGATCAAATGCAAAAAGAATCATATTTCATCAGACCTAGTCAACACCAGAAAAATAAATAGAAATATAAGAGGTATGCAGGCTATGATTCATTTTGATAATCTGGCCCAAGAGAGACGCATAGAGACAGCACACAGATCTAAGCTTCTACCAAAAGACAAATAGGACACAGAGGGTGGGAACTGGGATGACAGTGTAGCAGAGGTCACATCGATTTTCAGCAGCAGTTTTCACACAGATGAGATAACCCTGGACTCTATTTGGCCCATTGTTCATATCCTACCTGTCCCACAAGCAATAAATTTTCTAGTCCTAGAAAAAGGGCAGTAAAGAAGAAGGATTCTACTTATGACTTCTTATGATTAAGTTTCTGTGCTAACCAAACATGCTTTTCAGACCAAGGTCACATTGCATGTTAGGGTCTGTAATAACCCCAAACTAGTAGAAGCATATTAGTCTTAGTGTATATGAGTAGAAACTGTGAAACTATTCATCAGAATTTTTTTTCTGATTTAAATCACATGCTTCAAAAATGACTGATAAATGCATTTGAAATTTATTTCAATCTTATAATAGATCTTCACATCTGAATGGCATTTAAATTTTGTTCAGAGATGGAATAAATGCAATGTTACATAGAAATATATCAGGTGAGCTTGAGAAATCCTAATTGGCAATAAAATTAAAAATGGGAAAATACTTGAAACATAGATTGTCAGTTTAATAAAAGCAGCTCTTTGCGATCCTGAGAAAGGGTTTTGATTTTTAAAAAAACTGATATATATATATATATATATATATATATATATATATATATATATACACATACACACACACGCACACACACACACACCTGTATCAGCATATATAACACAATGGTTTAAATTTTAAAAAATAAACCTAACACAACTGTAATCTGGTCAAGGACATGAGCAACCTCTCCAATTATTGATGTAATGTGGAGACCACTTCTATTGAGCCTGTTTGTTAAACCTGCCATACTTTGTAATAGCACTTGGGGATCCACATAAACAATAAGCTCTTTATTTTAATTTCTTGCTTGGGGTCCAGATGAATAGATGCAAAAGTTAATAAGAACTTTAATTGTAGAATAAAGTAAATATATGGTAAATGCTCCAAGTAGAAAAATCCCCTTGAAAATTAAAGTCAAGGCTCCTGGAGACATTTTATATGATGCCAGTGCTTATTCTCCCACTTTTTTGTAGAGCTAAGTATTTACTTTCCTCTGGGCTTTGAGGATTATGATTCAGGAATAGAAATTGAACACAGATGACTCACTGAGCAGTGGAAAAATGCAGCTACCTACCAGGTCATCAGTTTTATTCTTTAACAAGTAAATTATATTCCATTATTTGATTTGAGAGCTTTCCCCTAAATACAGCTGGCCCAAGGGACTTTCTTTTGTCAATGTCATTAGTATTACATTCAGCACAAGCAAGACACCTGCTTCCCTCTCCCAAACTAAAGAACAATAACAACAAAATGACCAACTGCTGTGTAATGATGTGACCTGCATGAATATAGGGAAGCCTTCATGGACTCAACTGAACAATGACTCCTCAAGTGCTACAATCATCAAATGTGGAAAAGAAAAACCTTATCCCAAAATTGTTTGGGGAGATGAAATAAAAATAATGCAAATAAATGGAAACAGAAAACTAGTAGAAAATGAATGAAAGGCTATCAACCTGAGAAACTAAGATCGAATACTGCTAAAACCAATTATGTTCCTCTTTTGCTCTGGATCCTTAGATTAGCAATTTGGCATAACAGGCTCCTCTATGAATTATGAATTGGAATTAAATCATCTCTCAGATAAAATATTATGCCAATAACA